TATTTTGGTATTAATCTCTCTCTGAAGCTTGCAGGCTCTGAATCGTCTATTTCTAAATGCTTATGGAGAGATAAACCCACATGTATTAGCTGAAACATGCCTACAAAGGACCAAGGATAAAGGAGGACTAGATGTGCCTAACTTTCAACACTACTTCTTAGCCAGTGGGCTACATTTCATCTCAGGATGGTTAAAACATACCCTCTTGGCCCTGGCTAGATGTCAAACAGCCACTATGCAACAATATCTCTGACCTACCATTCATTAGCTCAAACAACAAACGACAGTTATGCTTAAAAGCATCAATATCAGATACTCTCTGACAGCATGGTGGGAGTTTCTAAAATCACTGAGTCTTCATTAATCCCATGGAAACGTTGGGCAGGTGCTCAGTATTTGTATATGTGTGCATGAGGGTGGGCATGCATGCTTGTGTCTGTGTGTGCCTTTTAGTCTACATCTGTGTGTCAGGTTGGGTCTTGGACTCAACCTCTCTTGGAACATCTCGGGCCCCCCATCTCCATCTCCGCCCACCACACCGGTGCATTGGTGGTTCTCAGTGTCTGGGGCTGGGTGCTTGGGTGTGTACAGGCTCACTCCTGGCCCCCCTGGTTCTGTCGGGCCCATTCCAGGGTGTGGGGGGCCCTTGGATCTCAGGTCTCTGGGCCCGGGTTCGGTCTGCTTTGTCATAGCCGTCGGAGCCTGTGGGCTCGTTGTTGTGCGCTCGTCGTTCTGGTTCTTAAAGAAAATACGTTGCTTGGCAAACATTTCTATGCAAGTAAGAGTTTGCAGTGGCTCCACCTCTGTAAAGATGTGACCAGAGCCAGCGGGAGAACTCTGGCTTTTAACACCAGCTGATTAGTGTCACTTCAGATCTGGCTCATCATCATCATTATGACATTAAGTGTCATCAGCACTAAAAAGTGCAGATACAACTGTTGACAGCATATGCAGTAGATCCTAAAAGTACTCAGGCCTCTACAATTCTGGCACCTATAAGTGTCACATTAAGTGTCAAAGCATTAAATTGAATTTGCTGACTTTTTCTGTAATGTTCAGCCTGAAATATGTAGTTTTAAGCCCCAAAGACCATCTGTGAAGATTCTAGTTCTGATTATCTTTGTGCTGTGACAGCGTCATGGGGATGAGGAGAAACAAGTAAAGCCATATTTGGTATGTTTTGCATTCCTATTGATACGCAAAGGCAGACTCTCACCCACAAAAACACATAGACAGTATGTTCTGACAGGATCTGTCATTTTCACACTTCCCAGTCATTATAAATCAGGATTGAATTCATTTTGGTAGCATCATGTTGCATTTGCATTTTCAAGATTCAACAACTGCTTATCTCAAACATGCTAGCAAAATTTGTTTGTGAAGTTGGGTTTTCTTTGTTTGTTTGTTTTTTTGTTTCTGAGAAGAAGAAAAAAAGGGCCACTGCGTTGTTTTCTGTTTGAATTTAATTTGACTCTGTTTAATGCATAAGGGATCATGAATCTGTTTCTGCAGGTCTATAGAAAGTCCAAAGGTCTGAGGTTTGGACTTGAGCTTTAGAGTGTACAGATCTTAAATGTTTGTGTCACTAAAGTTGTATATTGAGCAGTTTGGTTTTTATGTTTCCCATCTAGGTCTGACTCTGCTGATCCCCTACCTTCTTACCAATAAGAAGCGGTGGAAGGAATGTAAGATCCGTGTTTTCATTGGAGGCAAGATCAACAGGATTGATCACGACCGCAGAGCGTAAGTACTGTACAGGCTGTCCGTTTTGTCAAGACTGGAGAGTACTGTACATGACTGTACAAAGGAATGAGTGTCTACCCTATGAAGTCTTTTATTGAGCCTTTGAAATCAAAACAATACTACCAAAACGCAGCACTCCAAAAAATGTAAACAAAACCAAACTACCTAAAATAATAATAATAATAACTTTCTAATATCTTTGTTTTTGCCTTTTAAAAACTTAAAGACACTTGTTGTTATAAGCAGCACTAAGTAAATAAACAGAATTTAAAATTCAGTCATATTGTTAATTACACTTAAATGTAATTGTTATTAAACATAAAAGGATTCATAACATTGGATGAGAACAAGAGGAAGCTGTAAATAGCCCTGGTGCTCTTCTGCCTTTAGTCTTTTGACTAAAACATAATTTAGGCACCTGAAGTCTAGTTTTAGTCTAGGTTTAGAATGCAGACTGCTGATGGAAATTAGTTGGTAGCTAAATCTGGCACAAAGCATCCTTTTCTTTTTAACTTATTAATGTATTTTGTGCGTGGTCCCGTAAATACAATAAAATTAAATGCAATTTGCAATATACAATTTAATTAATTCTGCGTGGATCTCTTCTTTCGGGCAGGTTTAGGGTTAGTGGACACCCAAGCTTTTGAATGTGGTAACTCGAGAACGAAGCAATGTAGGAGTTTGAAGTTGATACCATAGGTGTATCTACTGAAAATCCAGACTAGTTTGAATCTCAGTGACCTCGACCTTGGGGTCAAGGTCAAGTTTTCTGAAAACCTTGTAAATGCCATAATTGGAGAAGGAGGTCACCTAGGATCTTAAATAGATTTATAATAAGTTCATGAGTTTGGCCTTAAGGTCAGGGGTCAGAGGTTTTCTGAAAATTTAGCAAATGTGACAACTTGAACAAGGACAAATTCGCACCATAGGCGCATTTATCAGGAGGCTGAGGCCAACCACTGGCCACCACCAGTATTTTTATTTGTTGATAAAAGTGTCATAGTTATTGTCAAAAGAAGATTTTCATTGACAAAAACTACGACGACAATTATTGGTCAACGAAATTAACACTGTTGCAGACATGAGGAAGCTGCGCCTTAACATACATGCTGTGCAGTTAGCAGAAAACACAGTGTAGGTATGTCCTTCCTTTCAGCACCACTGTCACACATTTGTTTATAACATAAGGATGTATCCAAATACTAGATGTCTTAAAATGCATTTTATATGCACAAAGTACTAACCCTGACTGTTTCTGTACATTATTATAAATGTCACTGTTCATTTAAACGCTGACATCTCTCCAGGTTAATGTAAGCGCATACAACGTAAAATGTACACATAATGTATATTGCAGCATTCAACACTGCATGTTTTTGACCATAAATAGGGAAACAATCACACAAAGCTCATATTAGTTATTAAATATTATTTGTAGTAATAAAAATTAATAAAAATCAACTAAGAAGTTGAACTGCTACATATAAATGATGAATTTGCCTTTGTACTTGCTGTGTGGGTGTATGCATGCATGTGTGTGGGTGCTCGAAAGGAGCCATACCCACATTTTCTTAAATGGATTGAATTTTGTAGGTGCTAATATTAAATGTATCTTAGTAAATATACCTTATTTATTATATGTGCTTACAAAAATTGCTCATCCTACAGACAGACTCCACCTCCTCTGACTTGTCTTTGTTATCCTCTTAAAAAATTGATTAGCTCGACACATGAAGCAGTTCTACAACAGCTACAGGTTGTGGTTGGTGGATTTTCAGTTGCAGCAGATCTCAAGTGCAGAACGAGGTATACCGATGCCAGCTCAAGACCAGTGCTAGAGTTAGTCCATCTGTTGTGCAATGAGAGACTGGAGAAGCAGCTGAATGAAACTGATGGCAGAGAGCTGGCCAGTAGGGAAAACACAGGAACAAAAAGGTCATGGCTGACAGATTAGCAGGCGCTGAACAGTCAGTCTGAATCCAGTAAAGTTTCAAATCAGTGAAGAAAATGTGATTGAGTTCATTCTCAAAAGCTATTCTCTGGGGATGATGTGAGTCTATCCCTTACCCCCATCCCTCCTGCCAAAGAAGTCAACACGATTTTGTTGTCCGGAGAAAGAGCCACTCATTTTTCTGCTTTTGTCATATGAAGTTAGCTGGGTGTAGAAGCTTTTATGTTTGCGTGACTACAAAACTATCAACAGTCTGTTTCAACACACATCTGACATTTCAACATGTTCCTGTCTAACTTTATCTCTTACCAACAGACAGAAAGTAAAACCTGCTTCCAGCAAAGGCTAAATTTCAACTGCTGTTTCCTACACCCTTGTTTCTGTAAACACGGGAAAAGCATAAAGCTTTTCCCTCCAAAGCTGGGAGTCCTGCCTGCACCTCCTGCTGGAAAGCAGCTGAACTAAAGATTTGAGACAAAAATAAAACAAATTTGTTAAAGTAAATGAATAAATGCTTGGCACTGGAAACATGACAGTCACGTAGCCAACACAATAATAAAGAGCTTGAACACGTAGTCCTGTAGCCCACAACACATAGATAGCAGATGATGCTCTCCGGCACCAAGTGTTTGAAACTAAAGCTAAAGCAAATTATTCTCATAGATAGAATTCCACATTATAAACCCTGTTCCACCCGCTAGTGTTCAGAGTTATTCAAAGCAGCTTCCCGTGTATCCATCCAGAACTTCTTAGACTGCACATTTCTTCTTTAATAGCTTATTTATAGTATTGATCCTACTTCTCTGTTTTTGACTTTCCCGTTACAGGATGGCTACTCTGCTGAGCAAGTTCAGGATAGACTTTTCGGACATTACTGTCCTTGGAGACATCAACACCAAGCCCAAGAAGGAACAGTAAGTCCACTTTGTTAAGCTTCACACTTTGAACATCCTCCACAATTGTTAACGTGTATTATGTCACACATTCAGTATCTAAAGTGCCTTGAGGAAACTGTTGGCTGTATTTGGAACGGTATAAAGAAAGGAAAACTAACAGTTTTAATGATTGAAATTCAATGTTTAGCATGTTTGAGGACATTAAGCTGAGCTGAAAAGCAAATCACTGGCGCCCTCATGTGGTCTGTGTGGAAAAGACGTGTGGCTTTGAGACCATGTTGATTTGGTTTGAACAAATGATGATTTTTAACAAGGGAACATTTTCTTAACATTAATAAATCTGAAGACTTTTCAAGAAAGTATCACAGTCCAGATCCAGACATCCGCCTGGGTCTCAAGACTTTTTTTTTTCTTAGCATTTCTGCATTAGTAATTTCATTTTTATTAAAAACATCCATTTTTGTTCATTTCTTTGGTGAGATGATTTTGAAAATTCAGTTCATTTCAATTTTATTTATATAGTGCCTTATCACTACAGTTGCATCAAAGCTTTGTGTAGTTACCTGTTTTACATGAGGATTAACCATGATGTTGTGACGCAGCATGGCAGCCTTCGAGGAGATGATTGAGCCTTATCGGCTGAAAGAAGATGATATGGAGCAGGAGGCAGCTGAGAGGCTGAAGAACAGCGAACCATGGAGGATCACTGACAACGAGCTGGAGCTATATCGTGCCAAGGTCACAAGATTTCCCTGCATACTCCATTTACACGCGTCTTTAATCTCATAAGATGAAATTCTTGAGTCTGTCAAAGTTCCATATGACTTCAGGGTTCAGAAGGACTCATTCTTTGATCCTCTGCAGCCTCATTCAGTTGTTCTGTAGGGAGAGTGGAAGCAGTTCAGTGTAGCTTATACTGTGAGCGACACTGCTGCCTCGAAGTCTGTGGTGCAGTGGCTTGCGAAAATGATCTTGTTACGTGATACCTGATTGCTTGATCCTGTGGTTGTCTCTCTTTAGACCCAACGTCAGATCAGACTCAACGAGCTGCTGAAGGAACACTCAAGCACAGCCAACCTCATTGTTATGTAAGCTTGGGTTGGGTTGGGTGGGGGGGTGTATGTGTTTTAGTTTCAATAATACAAAGTGGGGGAAAAAAAACATGATGATTTAAAAAAAAAAAAAAAAAAACTTGAATGAAAATACTTGTTGTCAGCAGATTAGACATACAAACCTCTGTCTACTGACAGCAACACCAGCTGGTTATAAGCTAACATTATGCAAGCTAATGTTAGGCGCAAATGTCCTAGAAATCACGCTTTTCCCTCTGATAAACAGTTTGATTGCGTTCTCATATTATTAAACGGTTTGTTCAGTAAGCCTCAGAGGCCAGCGATGTTACGTCATCTTCAAAGTTTCACACCAAACGGCAGCTGTCGGAAGCTACCAGGAGCAAAAACAGCAGCTCGACTGACGGTTCAGCCGATCCTTAACATGTCAAAGCCCGAACCATGAAAATTCACATTTTTTGAAAATGGAGCATTTAATTTGGACAAATTAAAATAAATTAATCTTCAATTGGATATGAGTTTTATTTGTGCAATTTCAGAAGTGAGGTGGGAAAATCCCACAAGGGCTGCTGGTGTGGAGATGCTCTGACCCTCATCTTTGGGTCGCTCAAATCTTTCCTGCTACTTTGTTCACTTGCTCACTAATTTGCTATAAGAATAAAATGATAAACCAATATGAAGAAGTTGAAAAGAATAGAATTTAATTGTAGAAAAATGATCCTTTAAGTTTGATATTTAGTGGTATTGCTCATTGTTGAGTATATTGTTCTGTTTGCTTTGTTTTGTTTTGTTTTGTTTTGTGCAGAAAATTGTGAGAGTGTAATTTTGGTTGCCTACTTGTATTATCACAGATAGGGGGCAGGTATCAATAAGAATTTATTCTTCTTCCTGCTCCTTTTCATGCATGGAAACGGTATTACTTTAATTGAAAGGAAGGTTGTGTATGGGAATGAATTACTGCTGTACCATGTGTGAAACAAAACAAAAAATAAAATAAAAAAAATAAAATTTACCCCATCTAATAACGGATGACAAGATAACTAGTGCTAAAAATTGTGGGCTGAAAGTGATTGTTAACATTTGACCAAGTCAACAGGCAAAACTATGATGAACCACATTGGAAGGTGGAAAGCTTGCTTTGGGCTGGAGGTGATAACGATCATAACAGATAAATATGGCTTTTAGTCACTCTTTCCTGAAAAGGCCTTTTGTGGGTTTTGTAACTTTTATAAAGAAGAGTGGGATTTTGAGTGGCTTCAATATGTGATGCTTCTACCTAATCCTTAAATATGCAGTGAAGTGATGAGTTTTCATTAATTTGAATTGCCAATTCTTAAACAATTATGTGTAGAGATAACAGTACGTGATTTTTAGAACTTTTCTTATTGCTCCTTTTTGGTTACAGTTTCATTGCAGTCTCTCTTTCTTTGCCTTTCTCTGTGCAGAAGCCTCCCATTAGCCAGGAAGGGTGCTGTGTCCAGTGCTCTCTACATGGCCTGGCTGGAGGCATTGTCCAAGGATCTGCCTCCCATCCTTCTGGTGCGTGGCAACCACCAGAGTGTCCTCACCTTCTACTCTTAAAGGGGAAAAGCCGGTGATTTAAGTCACAGCTAAAGTCTAAAGGTCCACCACATACACTCCTGAGATAGCAGAATACAAGCCAGTGATGGAAACAGTGCTGAGTAATATGAATCCAATGAAAGTGCTATTTTTTTTGTGTAAAAGTGCTACATGTTTTGTGATGGAGGAATTTTATGTTGGGGGTGGGTGCTGGTTGTAAAGTTGCCCACTCTTTTTCCTTTCTTTCTTTTTATTCCAAGATGTCTCGGTTATTCTCTCGTTGTTCTAGTTCCTTCTGATTTCCTCATTAAAGTGTCATTTTTTTGTTCAAGTTGATTTCTCTCAGGCTCTCTAAAGCAGGCGTGCACAATATAGATGTGTTCATGATGTGGAATATATTGATGTCATACATTTTAAGTTTATCAGACCAGATGTTGTTTGCTCCAGCAATAATCACCCTGTCATGTTTTTTTCAAGTTGGGGAAAATGCTTTGCAACACCTTCTAAAGCCTTAAGGATGTGCCTTCCAGTCGAATCGGATGAAACGGAATTAGAATCTCTATTCAGATTGACAATTTTAACAGAATTTCCTTCTTAGCCGTGCGGGTGGATTTAAAGTAGAATTTTATAAAGAGTGTCAATTTGAACACTCTTACAGTTTTGACCTTAATCAGCATATTTATTTGGGGCTTTGATTTTTATATTTTTCACTTTTGAGTCTTCCTTTGTAAAAGTTGCTGAATACTCATCACAACAAGATCCTTGATCTTTTAGACACAGTTTGTAGGGGAGGGGTACATGTGGGCATAGACTTAAAGTCTCTGTCAGAAAAAATGTGAGGCTGGGTTTTTCTTTAGCCTTTTCAGGTGGATAAAATCTCTCCCTAGTAGCTGCCGATTATCAGCTTTCTTTGGTTCTGTGGCCACATGTATTGTTGTTTCGCTGTAAAGAAACTCTTCTACCCTTAAGATGCTAGTCCAAACCTTGCCTTAATGCTAGAACTATACTATACTGTCACGATTGTCATAAGTTCTCGCTCCCTCTTAAGCCATGTTGGCTGGAGGGTTTGTGTGTAAATGCAGATATTCATCCATTATTAAGTCTCAGCACATATGCATCTTAATCTGCATTAGTCATTTAGCCTCACTTCATTTAGTGTGCACTTGTGGCACATCCCTGTCTTTTAGCTTAATTATTACTATTGATTTTAGGGGTGACGTGGCATCACAAAAAGAAAGCCATACATAGACATTTTCCAGTTGTAGTGTACTGTAGAGGTCACATGTATCCCCTGTTCTACTGTGACTGTAGAGAATATTGATTAACTAGCTTCAATATGCAATAGTACAGCTGTTACTTTGGGGAGTGGTCACAGGTGTCATCACAGAGAAAAATAACCCTGAGCCTAAAATCAATTCATAAAACTCATTGTATTTGAGTTTTGTGGGGAAAATGGACAGTAAAGTGAAAGTAACCCGTTAGCTTTTGTTAAGATTGCAAATGTTGTTATTAAAACAGCTGAGCATAAACGGGTTGGTTGGAGTGGTTCTAGCGTAGATGTTTATTTTAAGTGCATTGCCCTAAAATTAGTCATGATATTTTGAAGCCTCTGCATTGTGTTGTTAAATACAGCAGAGATGCACAAGTCATTGTGGGTGGTCTCGTTATTTTGGATTAAACAGCATGGACTTTGGCTCATTATGATTATGGGTGAGAAACTACTACAAAGCAAATTAAACTTTACTATATGCAATTTAAAAGAAGAATGTGAGAGTGCTTAGGTTAGTTGAATGTACACTACACTAGTAGTACCTTTTGGTTTCCATTGTCATATGTATCATATGTTTCCTGCATATACTGCAGTTAGCACAATAGTGTTCTGTCTGTCGGCTTCATTGTGCTATTAGCGTTCATGCAGCACCATTGCCCACCACTCTGTTGTTCACATGGATTATCACTACGTTAATAATTCGTGTGTGTAATGTTTGCAGGGACTGTTGAAAGGATTCAGTACAAACCTATTATATAGATCTATACTCTTGCTCACCAGAGTGCTAAATGTAGCTGGAATAAGTTTTAGTTATGTGAAAGTGTGGGCTTGGAACGCACTGTTAGATCATTTCGAAGGCAGTCCTACATTGTAACAGCCTCAAATACCAAAATTCATCCACACCACAGCTGGTGTTCATGCAGCTGACACTGCTTTTCAAAATAAAAGACAAAATGTATCTAAAATTTGGTATTCCTGCAGCTGAGTGCATCCCTGTGCACTGTAACTTAAACAGTGAAACTAAATTATGCTTAACTCAAACTATGAAGTATGACTGAATATTTCTGTATTAGAGCAAATGTAAATGGATTTATTGAAGACTAACTGCTACGCAATACAATTGGTGAAACAAACTGCAGTTTTTGTTTTGTTTTGGTCTTTTTTGTTTGTTTTTTGCAGTGCATTTTGGGCAATATAAATCTGAGATTATCAATGTGGGCTGAGATGGGGATTTGGGGGCACTATTGTGTACTATAACAAAATAAAGGAGTGTATCTTTCAGATCTCTGTTCGTTGTTGTGTTGTGAGGCATTCACTCTTGTTCTCTTGTTGGTACAGAACAACATTATTACAAACAAGAACACGGGTTAAACCATTTGTATATTTAAAAAAATTATATTTGCTTATCTATCTATCTATATCTGTATCTATCTGTAATTATACACACACAGTTATATACATACATACATACATACATACATACATACATACAAAATATAAAAAATCACAACACTCATGTATCAATTAGAGGGGTTCTTTTTCATGTCACATTAAACGAAACAAAAATACCTCCTAATAACGTTTTCCAGCCAGCTAATGGTGTTTGGGTGTTTCCCTCATTTGTCTCGATAGAGATTAACATCTGTCTGACAAAATTACTGCATTGTCCTCAACAAATCAAATCATATGTACGTGTAAGTCGAGGCATTATTTGAGTTCTCCTAATTATTGTTTGTATTCTTTGCCATATTCCCTGTTCCTCCTATAGCAGGCATGTTGTTCCATGAGGGTGGATTCTAATATTTCAAAAATGATAAAATGGCCCTAAAATCTATTGGTGGTTGACATCACTAAGTTTATAGTCAGTATAAACTAACATGTAAATAAACTTAATAGTATATACACATGGAACATGTTGGAAGGGTATTTATTTTAGTTCAGACTTTTTTTTTTCCTCTTTTAATATTTGGAGTTTTGGTTGTAATTTGATTTGCATGTCAATGGTTTTTTCTTTTGCAGTTTGTTTCCTTTTGATTTTAGCAAATTGTCTTTCTCCTTGAGTCTGTATCTGTAGCCTTTCAATGAAGAAAAAGATATGATGACAAGCGGCTCAAACCAGTTTTCTCCTGCTTTAACTCAAACGTGTAAGGCCCAGCTGGTTGAAGCAGGAATGTTTTGATACTGTTAACAGTCACAGATATGCTTTTTCTAACATTTTAACATGTATGATTACCAGTACTTTGTACATCTTTATTGCAATAAATAAACCAAATGAAACCATTAACATCTGTAGTCTGCATTTGTGGTTTGCAAGGCTTCTATTTAATTCAGTTTTATGTATTGTTTACTGAATTTTGCATAATGGATAAAGCTCCTAGAGTGTTAAAGTGAATCAGCGATCTGACCTGAGGAACCTCATTCGGGGGGGACTATGACAAAGCCAGGTTTATTTGCTGTTGGGGGTTAATGGAAGTCTAATACTGTGTTACAGCAGACAACAAATTATAGGAAAAACT